TTAGCTAGGTTTGTCTGCGAGCATCGGGATTTTTAACGCAGCCTTAAGAATTTATTGATCGTTGAAATAGCAAATATCAGCAGACTTCGTTTCGGGCAATATTTCAAATATTTAAACCGATACTTGTATTGAATCTCTAATCTATTGACCATGTAATTGTGATTTTAAGTGTATCGAAACTCAACTGCATATTTTTACCCTTACTAGGACCAAATGGGTCATTTAGGTGAATCCTCACCGCTCCATTCTTCCAGCTCTTCCTGGAGCCGCAGCTCCAGCTTTCGCATGTCATTGGCAATGTCTTGCTCATACATGGCATCGTCAGCCGACTTTCCAGTCAGATTTCCATGATGAGAGCGATTTGCTTGAGTCAGTGAATATACAATTTTATTCTGGAATTAAATCAGAAAATGTGATATGTAATTAGCTAAAAAGAGATAAAGAAACGTACAAGGCAAGCTTCCTTCTGCTTCTCCTGAATACCCTGTTCAATAACTTGAAGCTGCTGCGTCAACCGTTCTCTCTCACTCAACGAAGTGACGCCTTGAGATGCAAGCTTCAGATTGTTTAACTGTTTTTCAAGATTTCGCAGCTGAACTTGAACGCGTTGAGACTCGGCTATGAGTTCCTTGGTGGGGGTGTCTTGAAGTCTTGAGTGAAGTATTAGGTGTGGAGAACCTGGATGACAAACATTTGTTAAGACTAACGGAACATTGTCGTCTGATTCTCAACTTTGATAAACGCAAACATGCTCGGCTCCGCATCGAATTTTAAGGAAGCTTTTTATATCAAATCTCAGCAGTTATCGAGGAATTTCCTTGGTTGATAACGCTCTTATTTCAATCAACAAGCAAAAACGGTTGATAGTTTCATTTCAAATTAAATTAAATGCCCTAATTGATCACTGACTATTACCCATGAGAATACTGATTTTTTTGTAAATCGGTCAAATAATTCAATTATGCTTTTCGTGTCATGTCTGATTGTTGAGTTGTTTCACTTCGCAATTCAAATAATTATATGTGGTTTGCAAGAATGGCGCTCTTGACTGAGACACAAAGAATAAATCAGAGAATTCGAATTATGCTGAGAAACAATTACAAAACCAACAATCCCTACGATTCCAGCAAAAATATTGTTCTTTTTTCAGTAACAAGGAAATCCGGAGAAATCAACAAAATAAGTAGCAGTGGAGCAAACAGTCCGTCGATAATAATTAGTCTCCCAAATCTCAAAAATGTCCAGCGACTGTATAAATGCATTAACCAACAGCCATCTGATCGTTTTTCTTAATAAAACAACCAAATTTTCAATAAGTTTGTCCCAGCCGCCGAGTCCATACTGTCTATGAACCAATTAGCATTTTCAGTTTCGACTTTCAATAATTAATACATACATCTTTAACTGTATATATATCTTTTTCTTCTTCGGTTTTTTAAATAATCCGAATTTTATCAAAATCTAATCTAATTTTCATGTGCCAAATACTTTACAATAATTTAAGTTATGTAACCGTAATTTGTAGTAAAGTGTAACAAAAAATCCTATTTTTATTCCAATTATAATAAACTTGCCATGAACTTTAAGTCGCTATAACTTGATTAATTCAAATACAACCCCATTTTTTGTTAAGTTACCAGGAAATGCAATTTTTAATTACCTATCGAATGGTATTAGGATGTTAATAGCTAAGTCTTGGCGTGTTTACAAAAAACGTAAATTTATGAAAAAAGGTAAGTTTGGTCTGTTACTTGAATTTAAGACACCCTGTATCAATTGTTACTGTCTTAAATTAAACTAGACGTTTATATCTAGAACTTTTGTATTTAACATTTTTCTCTAAATTTCCAATTAGATTCAAAAACGGGGTGGCCAAAGTTCAATCAATATTGGTTATTAACTCAAAAACAGTTAAAAATCATTATAGAACATTTATATCGAATAAGCCTAGAATTGTGCGAATAATTCGAATATGCAATAAAAAGTACTGCCTTTCATTTAAAAAAGGTAAGTTTGGTCTGCCACTTGAATTTGACACACCCTGTATCAATTAGTATTATCTTAAAATAAACTTTACGTTAACGTTAATATCTACAACTTTTGCATTTAATATTTTTTACTAAATTCCAAGTTAGATGAAAAAACGGGGTGGCCAAAGTTCAATCAATAACCCTGTACACAACAAATCCGCATTAAAAATTAAATCTCATGAAAATCGAGCAAAATACTAATCGTCAAAATTTTCAAATATCAAGCTCAATGGCTCAAAATTTCATAAAAGTCGATTAAAACGATGGTGCAAAGTCTATTCCGCCCTATGGTCGGAGTTGTTTATATTTGGCTGGAAAAGGTGTTTTATTTACGGCGATCATCAAAACCAGTTTAAACTCGAAACGTGTCTTTGAAAATATAGCCATATACATTGGAAGTTTCAACAACACTGTAAACAACAAAAAAACTGGAATCGAACTGCGAAGCAAAGGAATTAGTCATCCAAAGGGCGATAAAGCAGATTATTATATCATGTTGGTTCTGTAGTTCGGTGTGTGAAACCGGTGAAAACTTCCATTTAGCATGATTTTTTTCCAAAAGCAAAGCAAATGTTCAGTTTCTAACGGGCAACAAACGAAATAGGTAGTAGATTCTTGGGGTCTTTTCGGGGATTTATAAAGTGGTTGCTGTAGATCATCCGGTCCGTTAACTGAAGGATTTAGTGCAAGTGCAATTAAGTTTTTAAATTGTTGTTAATATTCAGTGTGTATTCAAGGTGTCACCTTTTGGAGCATTAATGGGTAGAAACTGGAGTACGGCGCCAGCTTTCAGAAAGCTGGTAAGAACCTCTGATTTATAAATCTCTTAGGTTCAACTGATTTCAGTTTTCCGAAAAGCAACAGAAGTGTTATGCATTCTTTATATTTCTCTCTATTTAGTTTGCTGATTTCAATTCAGTTCCTGCTGTACTAAACGTATTTTCTTCTTTCTTTCCAGGTGGCACGATGCAGCTTTCGGTAAGTTTGTCATTACTTTACCTCTGGTTGCCATGTAGATGTACAGCTTTTAGTCCTATATTATTGAATTGTACTTTATTATACTGTTGTATATTTATTCGAAGAGGAAAGACGAGGGAGTTTCTGGATTCTGGATTGCGTTCCTCAAACGTTTTTAACTGATCTTTGCAAAATCAATTTGAAATCAGATTTTATGAATTAACTAGGTGTTTATCAAAGGTATACAGGTAATTGGAATTTTTCTGTTCCTAACACTCTAAACTAAACGGTTCTTGTATTCTAAATAGCGAATACTCAAAATGACAAAATTTAACTTCTTTCGCCCCGTTTTCCTACATTAAATGGTCACGTTTGTCATTTAAAAAAGGGTGTTCTGTTGCGAACTTACCTTAAATTATCTTGGAAGCAAACATATCGATTACTAATATTTTTCTGCTGTAAAGTTAAAGTTAATATTACCCCATAATCCAGACTAAAGTACCTAAAGGTATGTAAATATTGTTTATTACTTTGTGGTGTTCTAGGGGAGACCGCCTAAGAGGCGCAAGTGGTCCTGGCCTACCAGTTTAAATTTCGCGCTGGTTTTCCCAAATTTAACACACTAAACAAATTATGTTTGATAAACGTTTCGTGCTAAGAAATTGTAGCGGCCAGGATCTATCCGGCTATTCAATTTTTATTGCCGGTCAGCCCCTTCAGGCTGCAGGTGATCCAGAAAAAGATTATACCCAGAGTAGCGGCTGTTCTTTTAAATTTTAGCCACTAAATGGCGTCGGATCCGGACACCGTCTTATTTTGTTGAAGTAGATGGCAACCAGGGCTGTAGTTTTTCTTTGATTGCTTTTATGCTGCTGGCATGTGCAGGTTTGCGGAATTTATGGAGCAGATTTGCGTTTGGAGGCTGGAAGACCAGCTTGTACCTGATTTGTACACGCATATTAAGTCTTGTTCGAATCGACAGATAATTGTTTTGTTTGAAGCCCAGGTAAACATATACAGGGTGTCCCACCGGGAATTGCCGCGACCGATTTCTGCCAAACCATAATTAGGAGAAATTTGAAAATTGAACAGTGTGCCGAAGTCATTGGAGGCAAGCGACCTAAAATACTCAGTAGGTATCAACTTGCTTATTTTAAATGAAACACCACATATATTATAAGATTTTTGGATTGCACTCCAAATTCTAAATATGTTTAATGTATAATATCCTATACCTAAGTCTAACCGTTTTTGATATATTTGAAATTTTATGTAAAAAATAACAGTTGCAACCACTCGAATAATTTCAATTTTTCCGATAAGAAAATTTGTGCTACTTAATTCTCCACTCTCTCCAATTTGAAACTTATTTTTTTAACACTTATCTTATACGTATTAATAGTTATAAAAAAATTGCCGAAATTTTATTTAAGTAGGTCCTTTTCAGCAAGAAATAACAAGTAGCTGCAACTGTAATTGTTTACATAAAATTTCAAATATATCATGGACTTGGGTATAGGATATTATACATGAAATATGTTTAGAATTTGGAGCAGAATTTAAAACTGTAATAATATATAGGGTGTTTCAATTAAAATAAGCAAGTTGGTACCAACTTCCGGTATAACCGGAAGTGTGGCCACCTTGAAAATATTTTAGATCGCTTCCCCTCAATGACTTCGGCACACTATTCAATTTTCACATTTCTCCTAATGATAGTTTGCGAGATATCGATCGAGGCGGTCTCCGGTGGGACACCCTGTATATTTCCCGCGATTTAATAATACATCTGAAACAAACGGTCAAAAACTCAAACCCGCCCGCGGCACATAGTTTGCAGTTTTAAATTCATTGTTAATACCTTGTTAATTCATACACACTTACCAAACGTAACATATGCATCATTAATCCCAGTTGCAGAAGGAACTATTATTGGGTGGCCAGACGGCACTCCGTTTTGGTGATAGTGACTATTATTATTAATATACCACGATGTGACAGGGCTTCCAGATGAAACTGGTCTCCGCGTCTGAAATAGTAAATATGAAATAAATACAAGCAGATCCCACTAAAAAAATAGAGAATTTGCGATTGAGGAAGTGCAGTTAGACTTCAGTAGATTTGGGAAGTTTCCTTTGTAGTTTAGAACTATTTTAATAGTACAGTAAACTTTGTTTTTTAATTTAAATACTCACCATAGTTGACGATAAACTTCCGTCTCTGTGTGCAGCAGGTACAGATTGGCCAATTCCGTTTCCATCTTTCGGCATCCTGGAAATTGGTCCGAATTTACTAATAGACGGTGAATCGTAAGGAACATAGTCATCGTCTGCTGCTAATATTGAATCAGATCTAACAAAAGTAGGACCTATAACAAATAGAATTATTATATTTCAGCCACAATGAAAATTCAGAGAATTCCTAATAACATTATTAACATGGATCAAATAATAATTCAGTTAGAAACATTAAGTACTTAATTACCTGCGTTAATATGGCCAGTTAGGAAATGATAAGGGGATGTTGGACTATCCAAGTCGTGCTGAGATTCCTGACGGGCCAAAATTGTTGCCTTATTGGAAATTTCCGTGGCAACATTTTTGCCCACCACCTTCTCTAACTGACTAAGAACTTCTTTTTTAAGCTGATGGAGTTCTGGTAAACTTTTCATTTGATTGCGAGGCAGCTTCTGTGCCAAGTAGTTTTGGTGCTTTAAAGCCTGAAAAGCAAATACGTAAATTTAACTACAAATCAAAATATATTCATAATTATACAAATGAAGAAGAAAAGTTAAACGAGGGGATTTTTTTAGCGGCTTAAACGAACAAATAATTTCATTTCATTCATAATTATATCAAACATTGTACACAGATTTTATAGAAAAATGACTAGTTGAACAATAGGCAAAGTACGATTTTAATTAGACACCGTGTCGTTCCAATGTCACCAAAAAGTTGATTTTGAACATTTCCTGTCTATTTAAAATTATAACAGAACGTAATTTAACCACTTGATGAGATTGTAGGCGTATGATAATTATATGTGCAAATATGAAAAAGAACATACCATATGATCCCACCCAGTTCGTCGGTTATTCTCATTATTCTGCCCAGGATTGTTCGGAACAGCCTGAAACTCTGACTGCGATCTCACTGGGTAAATCGGGTTGCCATTTGCCAGAACCATATTATGAGCCGGAGTAGACATCATCTCCTGTGAAGGATATGGCGCGCTCTGAGAATACATTGGCTGCGAAAATTGCCCATGATTTTGCTGGTAACTTGGATTGAAGGGAATCTCGTAACTAATTCTCGGTATCGAAATGGGCACTGCTTGCAATGGTATTGGACTCACAGGACTATTATTTGATACAGAATAGTATTCTTCGGGTTGGGGAAATACTTTTTCAACGGGCGATTGGTTTTCGATTCGATGATCCTTATTGCGGTTGGTGTTCTTTCTATTTTTTGCACGATATCTGAAAAAAATATATTAAATATTAAAATACAATCGTTTTGGATTTCCTTTCTAAGTCCAAGAATAGAAAGTCGTATTGTCGGGTACAAGTACAACAATAAATTGAAAGTTTCCAAATGAAACAACATTGACAAAAGAGTCAAAACATCATGTAAGTTATGTGGTTTTCTATTTATTTTCCGTCATTCTTCATTCCATGTCTTTCGACTTACTTTTCCAACTCCTCATTTGAATGAGCAAACGTGCAGTTTGCTCCTCTCGGGCAACTTCCTCTCAGTGTCAGGTCTCGACACATGCTTATTTTATATTTTGCATGTTGCGAGTGAGACGTATCTTGCACTCGTCTACTTCCATGCTGCTGAATAAACTCCACAAGGCCAGCTACCACTTGTTTCACCGCTTCCAAACATTCAGTACAATCCTTCCAGCTTGGTGATGATAATTCTGTAATCATATGCAGAGTAGGTATTTCACCGAGTATTCTTTACACTAAATAAACTAGCAAGGGTATTCACAATCAGCTAAGTTTTTGCAAGATATGAAAGCCTTCGGTTGAGCACCAACTCAATTAATTAATGACCAACTGAAACCGGATTAAAAACTTGGAAAACTTTTCATATTTTCTTCAAACTCGCAAGCTCTCGCTTAAAACCAGTAAAAGTGGAACAACAGTTCAGAATTGCTGGATAAAATTAAATTTGATAAATCAGAAATCCATAAGGTTATTTACTAGTTAAAATAACTAGTCCAGTGAATTATATTATACCTGGGCTTGGATCTATCCCGGCTAGCAGCTCTAGAGGATTTCGTAACACAGATAATTTCCCCGGATCGCCAGTTCTTTGTAGGGCAATTACAAGTTCCTGCACGGATTGAGCGAAAGATTGGGGAGTTTGCAATTTATCTATAATACTTTGCATATGCGATTTATGCGCAGTGTCTCCATAGAGCAATGCGGACCACTGATCGGGGGCAATTCGTAAACCAGCCTCAGTTGCAATTTGCACTATTTGCGCATCATGTTCTCGGCGCAATGCTTCATATGTACGAAACTCCTCTTTCAGTTGCATTAAAGATGAGTCGCCTTCACGTTTTGATACCTACAGCAAACGGAAATGAAATCAACTGAAAAATTTCCTCGACAATGCGGTATTAGTACCTTAAAGCAGGATGCTCGGTAAAGCAATTGAACTACATGCCCTATACTGGTTTTCGATGCTTGTGGATAGTGAGGTTCCAATCTCTGAACCACAAACATCACTAATACTTTTCGAGATAGTGCTGAACCATCCTCGAGAGCAAGAAGAACGAGTTTTAAGACTTCCTCCTGCATAGCTGAAATACAATTTTGTATAACTTACGGATACCTTGGACAAATAATAAAATATTGTCTTGCAATAAAACTTAGATCAGAATACATTTTCACCAATTTCACTACTTGACTATTAATTTATTGAGCTGAGGAGAATCAGTAGCAATTTTTGAGAAGTTAAGTTGCATTAGGTAAAAATCACTGAAACAAAACAAGACAGACAAATTGAATAACATCTGCACGCAATAATGATTCGTTTTGCAATTAGCTCAATTTTTTGTGAAAAAATGTTTATCTTCTCTGCTCTTGATGGGGTCAAAGTTGGTCATTTGGAAATTGGAATTAACTAATTTATTTCTCATTTGGATGCACTAATTATTTTTGATATTGTTACGAACTTTGTAAAAACTTTTAGCATTCAGTTTTTACGCAAAAAAATATTTCTGTTAATTAACCGACATGGTCCAAGTCTTAGGCCGGTCGTTCTTTGAAAGCGTTGTCGTCCGAATTGCGTTCCTCATAAATCTGACGAAATAACGGAGGAACGTCTAAAATTGTTAATTGGTAAAAAACCAAAAATCCTTTTTTGCGCAAGAACTATTAGAGCTTCAAGATTTTACATAGAGCACAAAAATGCAAAAAACAATAATGAGTTGATCCAGCCTCTTGACAAAACCTTCTGGTAGTTTCTGTACTAAGGCACTCAAGAATTCACCACTTTCCCAATGTGAATGTTCTCGAGAAAATATGAGTATTACATAAGAACAGATTCAAAGCGAGTTTTATTAAAATCCATTGAATCATTCTCCCGATATTTGAAAACTGTAACTTTGTTGCAAAATTCGACATTTTTTTGTAATAAAATTTAGGTTACATCGTCTTCTTTTGAGCAAAATAAAGTCGCAACCTGTATAACAAGTACATTAAAAGCTAAAATATATTTCTTTTAATTCGTTAAGAGCCCTGACCTAAATTTTCCACATTGTCGAGTGTAAACTTTCTTTCTTTGTTATAAACAAATTAATATTACTGTTGTGAGGGTTCATTTGCATTGATTCAAAATTTAAATAGATTTTCGAAATTTAAACGCATTTTGCATTCGCCAATTTAATTGAATGTATTTCGGTCAAATGTTTCCGATTGCTCTGTTCGTTGTTTCCAGGATAATACTATTTCCAATTTCGCATGTACGTTCTTAGATGATCAGTGGGTTTATTATGCACATTTAAAAATGGACGTAAAATGATTCATTAATTATAGACAAAAATGTCAAAAAGTTATTCTATTGTAAAAAGCTGCGTCTACTAATCGTATGTTTCACAGTTCATAATACATGAACTTTGAGTAATACGAACGAATTAAAGTACTTTCTGTAAAAGTTATTCAAGTAAAAGCATTTCGTGCATTCCCTCTCGAACAGTTTATCAATGTCCCATTTCACACGAATGACCCTGTCCCTATACGCAAAATAATAAAGTAAATACATGTCTAATTTTAGTGATAATTCACTAGTGTTTTATCTGTGTGTTTCTCCATAGAAAACAAAGGAAGTGATTTCTCTTTTGAAAGAATCTGATAAGATAAGTTAATACGAACAACAACAATAATTGCTTTGTGTTTCCTCAAACAAAGTTCTTTGTGAATAATGAAGTACAAGTAACGGATTGACAAATATATTATAATGTAAATATTGATGAAAACTATTATGGTTTTCAATCTTTGGTCACAACGTCATAATATATACTTAATAGGTACCTCATTTACTTATAACAAAAAACTACTAGGTAGCAACAAAGGTCACACAGAACGCACATGAATTCGAAATGTTCAATCATATTAATTTGCTAATACCTATAAGTAATCACCATTAAAGGACATTTATGGAAGGTACAGATCAGCCAGCTATCAAGATACAAAATCATTAGCACGAACTTCCTAGGTTTCTTCGCTGGTTGGTGTGATAATGATAATGATAAAGTGACAACTTAAAGGAAATACTTGGAACTGGTTTAAAGTGTTTATGAAAAATAAATACACCTACCTGGACCCAAAAATTGGCAACCCCTTGCACGAACAGCTGCCCATAAGTTAGCTGAAAGCTGTTGAGGGTTTTGATGTTGCAAAATTAATTCAGTAACAGTCCTTTCGCCCAAAGATCGAGCTGCTCTCATGGCTCTTGTTCTTCCCTCATCTTCAACCAGCTGGCAGTTGATAAGTGTGACCAACTTCCTCTGCATAGGCCTGGATAGTATACTGCCACTTCCATTTGAGTGTGGTTTTAAATATAATGCTAATTCCTCAACATCTCTTCTGCATTTTGTGTAGTCGATTAAAATGTCGCTTGGTATAATAATATTGTCAAATGTATCTTCTGAATCGTTGATTGTGCTCGAACCGACAAGCTGTAGTAATGCTGTATTAACAGGCAAATTATCTATATCTACGTTGATTAACGTTTGATCAAACGGGCATTGTTTTCTATGTAGATTGGACAAACATCCTTTACATATTGTGTGTCCGCAGCCCAAACTAATGGGACTGCGAAGTTGGTCGTCAAATGCATTGCAACAAACTGGACACGTTAAATACTCTGTCCACTGTGGGGCCTGAATTGGCATTCTGAAGAGAAAGAGAAATTCCACAAATATAAAAATCAGGTGATTTTTTTCAGCAATGTGGCAAATATTTAATGGTTAATATGTTTAGGAAAGCGCACTTTTTAGCAGAAAGCAAATTCATTAAATAGATAATCTATTTCACAACACACACGGTTAAGCTCAACAAACAGGGCACATACTTACTTTGAAACCTTTATTGAATAAATTCACATTATGACTAATAGGCAATATTGTTGTTGTGACATCGGATTTCTGGAATTTCACGTACGTCACGCAAGACGTCACTTTTACTTCTGTCAACCATGTGTCAACCTACAGATTATTATCATCAGTATCATTTTCAACCATGGATGCAAATAAATCCTGTGTTCCATGCATCTGTTTATACCTTTGAATATAAAACTAATAAAACGTTAGTTTTATATTCAAAGGTTTATATCATGGTACGATGATACGAAAGTGTTTTTGTTGGTTGGAGATCTGCCAATTCGTACCACAGTTAAAATAAATTTTAAACTCTTTATATGCTGTGCCTTCCAAACTCCGAAAAATTTCTTGTTTGATCAATATGCCTCATTTTTTGTATCAATTTTGTAACTACATACTTGAAACTCTGTTTGCATCCAACGACAATGGCTTTATTATGACCTATTATGACTATTACATATAGTTTGATAATCTGTGGTTATGATTTAATGGCGGTAAACTAGCGCCCCCCCTCGTTAATTGTTGCAGAATCTAAGTTGTTCTCTCTCTTGTCCATACAAATAAACTGATAAGAACGTGACTCTCTGCGAGGCTCTTAGTCTGACAGGACTGGGCACGTGTTCTGTCAGTAAATACCCAATAATTACAAATTACAGCTGTTAAAACACGCGAAAACAGTCTAGAGTGAATGTGTTTAAATGTGTTTCCTTTAGTGCTCGTTGTTGTTCCCAGTATGGTCTGTAAGCTACTGTATAATGCCCTTGTAATAGCAGGCAACTTTCACTTAAGCTGTGATATTTTAATTGCATTTTAGCTATCTATATATTGTTGCATTTTAAATTGATTTTAATAATAGTCGTAAAGTTGAAACGATCTACATTCTCTCTTATACATTAATTAATATTCGCAGTGTTTATTCCTAAAATGGAAATAAAAACGTCGGAAGAAACTAATCAAAACAAAACCCTGCTAGAAGAAACGTTCTATGTTCTCTCTAAGAAGAAAAACACTTTCAAAGTTCGACTAACTCAGAAGGGCCTCCATTTGATTAGAGACAATGATGACAATATTAAAGAGCAGATCATTCAATTAAAGGATATTATTGGTTGTCAATGTTTAAGAAGCAAGAAACGAGCTAGACACTGTACCTGCCAGTCTCTACCTAGATCTGATAGTTTACAAGTCGTTGAAGAAAATTCAACTGATCTCGATGATTCAGATATCAGTGCTTACTTGTACGTGTATGCCTACATTTTACAAGGAACAAAGGAGGCAAATAAAAAACGAGAAAGAACAATTATAACGTTAAGGTTTAGATCATTTGACAAGTATGAAGACAATAACAAGGAAGCTCAAAGATGGAGATGTGTATTAAAGAAACTAATGAAAGGGGAAACTCTAACTAGCTCTATTGTAAATCAGAATTCCATAATAACTCGGCATAGAGAAACACGAAGGCTGCTCATTTTGTGCAACCCCAAAAGCGGAGCTGGAAAAGGCAAGCAAATATTTCAACAAAAAGTCGCACCTGTGCTAAATGAAGCTGAGATTCCTTACGATTTATATTTAACAAAACATTACAACTTTGCCAGAGATTTTGTAAGAAGCAGTAATGTTTTTCAGTGGACGGGAATCATTGGGGTGAGTTTTTGGAGAGTACCATTTTGTTAAATTGCTTGCGGATTTATATTACATTTTCCTCTAGAGAACCGAATTTAAATTAATCAGTTGATGTAACATATGCTTTGATGGGTCAGAATTAGAGAACTTAATAACAATCATATACTTACTTAAGTATCTTGAAAATATGGATAGTTAGTGTGTGAGATAAATCACCTTTTTATCTCGCATTTCATCATTTTTAGGAGTATGTCTCGACCTTAATTAAGCTGAATTTCAAGTAATATCCATAAAACAAAAGTATTCAAGATACATGTTTATCAAGCGAACTTTATAGACTATTGTCTAGTCTTCTTCATTCATATTAAATTATTAAAAATAATTAAACATACCTACGCATAAGTTTCGGATCGTAATTGAACAACGTAAAATAGAAAGGAAAGTTCTGATAAATTCGCGGGTGAGCTCTATTATAAGAAAAAGATCAACGATGGCCTACTTTAGGTTGAGTTCGCATAATTTGTCAGATTTGGAAACTGAATGTTAAGGACACAGAATTTACTTTGCTCAGAAACATACCCACATTTTGGTATACTAAAAAAACGTAAATGTTTCTAATAAGCTGTTGAAAATTTCTTATCGAATGTTCTTAACTTTCCCAAAACCACGGACTGACAGAAAAAGAATTGGACTAAATCGTGGTCCAAACGGAAATAAAATCGATCGCAGCTATCCGAATTTATCCAGTTTCGAGTAAATTTGGCCGTGTAAGGTTTATTTTGTTGCGCAGTTTATATTTATACAATTTTCTTTATAAGTTTTATTTAAATATTGTCGGACAATTGTTGTTTGAAGGTGGAAACGTATTATACTGGAAGCACATTATCGAGAAGCAGACGAAAATATTCTTGAAGAAATTGCAAATTTTGCTGAAAATTTCTTCACAAAAATGTGCACCAATCAAATGTCCATTAACATTCAACATCAAACGTGCATACTTAAATACATTTTTATGTGCCTACTGAATTAATACCCTCGTAATGGACTTACCGTTACGAACAAAACGGCTTTCTTTCGTGCGTCCCCAACACATGCTGGATAAACCGATAAAAGGTTCTTGAAAATCCCTTTCCTAAAAGAAAAAGTTGTTCGCTAACTTTCCGTAGATTTCTCATTGTTTTTTGCATTGGAATAATATTTACATTTAATTTTAATTATATTTTTCAATCATTAAAATAACATTGCCCATATCTTCAAAATGAAATTGGTCGAGGCGACAAATGTTCTAACTCATTTTTGAGCAGCGTCGTAGTGTAAAGTCTTGAATTTTGCTACTAATGAAAATGTTTTATAGTAGGATACTTAATATACAAAAATTCCTTTTGACAAAATGCATGCTATTATGAAACATCTTGTGTATCAGATTTTTTTGTAATATTTATAGATACATTTAGAGATGTCTTACTTTGCGGGAAACGTTTATTTCAAACCATTAAAAGCTTGCTGTGAAGTTGAAATCGCATAGAAAATAAATAGGAGACATTCATGAAATTTTATGCACATTTCTATGTACTTTTTTGGTGAAATTTAGCGGATTTCGAGTGAATTTCGGAGATTTCGAACGATTATGGTGACATTTATGGATGTGGTTGCCCTCTCAATTAGAAGATTTAAACCATGTTTCGTGTAGTTAGTTGGTTTTAGCATCACGTTAATCCTGTTTATAAATGCTCGAGCGTCTGGCCCTAGAAATTATAACTTGTTGTTTTCATTCTATTGACTGTTTAAATAAGTTTATTATTTTAAGCGTTTTTTTTAGTTTAGTAGTTTAACAGCTGGCAAAAGTCCTCTTTGAGTAGAATAGAGAGTAAAATCTTTCCAGTTAGCCTATCTTCCATATATACTTTATCAAAATTTAATCAATTCGCGTTTGTTTCGAATATAATTTAACACTTAACTAATTAAAAGTATGTTAAGACCTTATTGAAAAATGTACTGTAAAAAAATTACTTATATCTTCCTGACCCAACACAAAATGGACTTATTTAATTGCAAGACGCCAAAGTGCGCTTATGTGAAACAGGCCTGGTGTAGAAAAAATAGCGATTGTAAGTCTTCCCTTCGTTCTACTTTAGGACAACATACTATTTCACCCCTTTCACGGTGCCCCAAAAAGACTAAATATAATGAATAAATCACGATAAGGAAGGATCTGAATCGAATGAAAATTAACACTACCAAAGATAATATAGTATCGCGAGTGTAGTCTCGTGTTTGCTCCATTTAAATGTATAAATAAACAACAGAAGTAAAGCAATATTTTGATTTGATGAGTTGGTTTCTGTGGATAATACATATTTAAATCTAATACATATGTATGTACAATTTATTTGTAATTGGTGCAGGTTTGCAACATTTCCTGGAATTTTCATTTAATTTTTTAAGGGTTTTCCGAGGTCATTTCAAATGCACAACGCATAATTTAAAAATGCATGTCTATAAACAATGCAATTATATCCATGTGTTTGCATCATTATCTGGATTTAACATTTGTAACCGATGTCATCACAACGACATGAAATTTGTCAGACATTCTTGTGTTTTTTTTTCAAGATTTCCTCATTAAATGTCCATATTTTCTTTTCAGTATGACTGAGGATAAATTGTCACTTGTACCAAGTGTACTTAAATAAATAAAAATCTCTTATGTCCCCAAACGAACTGATTGATTCAGCAAAAATTCATCTGTTATTGCGACCATAAAAAGAACACCAATTAAATGATTAAAGCGAGTCACGAATCAATTATATTAGCTTTTTAACATTTGTGCTTAATTGTACGGGATTACCTTTGCACGTATTAAAAATTATTAAAAGTTTTTTTTTGATTATTGAGTTAAATAATGATGTGGTGATATAGTTTAAATATCCATTTGTGGTGCTTGCAAGAGTATACTTTATTCAAGGTTATCTGTATGATTGTATTTAATTTTTTTTTAAATCAAACCAAGAACTTTGTACCCATGTTGTTTATTTAAGATTAATTATAAACGTCGATAACTGCTAATGAAATTCAAAATAATTTGGTAGACGTCTTTTTAAAATTTTCCTTGCCAAAAACGTTTAAATTGGGTGTAAGCTTGCTAACGTATTAATATTGTGTTCGATACAGGGCGATTCTTAAAATGCGGCATTTATCTTTGTTTTTCTGGTATGGGGAGTGATCTGTTTGGCCGTCCAGAAAATGGTTACTTTTTTATTCTCCTGAAGTAATAAAGAAAACGCCTTTTAATGGTTCTCCGAATATTCTACCTGCGTTTTTCCGAATCATTATATTGGATTTGAATTTTGGTAATCGGCTTAATACTAGAATGGGACAAAAACATGGCTTACAAAGGTTGTAGACGCACTCGTTTAGTTACATTATTTCACGCGGAAAACTGAATTTACATTTTTTTAATCAAATGGTTCGTCTTTATTTTAGACGGTGGTTTAGGAGAAATTATTTTAAGGGTATGTAGCAAGCCAGTTGCCGAAAGAAAGTCTTGTTGCGAAGGATCGGGATTTTGCTTCTACCATCGATAATTACTGTGGCAATTGTTGACAGAAACTGCAGTAAACAATCGTCCGTTTTCACGAATCCATTGTCAAAATGGTACTCTTAAAGACAAATTCGGTTCTGGAAGATTTCGTACCTGTTGCACGTGAAAATCCTACAAAATATTGTTTGTGAAGTTTGAGGTAGCATTGCGATGCACCTCACGATATAACATCCAGAACAAGACACTTACAAGACACTGGTTAACAGTTACAAGACACTGGTGTTTCAAATTGTCATTTGGGATAATCTTATAAAACTGAGCTTGATAAACTTTTTATTTGTTTTGCAATAATTGCTTTCTTAGTTTGTAAATTATACTTCCCAAATCAATATATTTCTGTAGTAAACAAAAATCTTTTTATTTGCTTATTTTGATTTCTTTATTTTTATTTGACTCTATATCCTAAAACGTTTCTATTTCCCCCTAGTGCTACGTCAACTGATAAATGTTCAGGTTTTTTTGAGCATTCTGTTTGAACAAAACAAACATTATTGACTCCAATCAAAAGAGATTTTGTTTTGTAATATTGATTTAATGCAAGTCATCAGATTATCGTTCGCGTATTAATTCTAACAACGATATACGCTATAGCAAAGGTATTTATCTTGAATGGTTTGTCAATAACTACATGTTTTGGAATCGTGTCTTTCAAATTAGGCATATGAAAATACACAGGAAATTTTCGGTACAACATTTGAGGACGACCTGGCCACAATTGCTAATTGAGCCATGTAGTGTGTCTTTTACTTGTACAATTATTTGCAACTGGCTGATACTGCTCTCGTTTCCGTCTGGGGTTTGTAAAAACTGCACAGGTCCAGATATGTTATCAAGGATTCGTGAGAGGCATCGTACTATGGTCTATTGCACTTATTGGGCTCTTGGGGATTTATTATTCTTTGTTCTGGGTTTTATGATTTTATTTTATACATTTACGTTTACATTTACATTTACATACGTTTAGTACCTGGATTTCTCAGCATCTCGGTCGAAAGACTTTGAATTGAAAATAAATTGGTCTCACAGTGGTTCTTGTACAGTTTTTAAACGCTTTGAATGAATTACTCGATGCTCATTTACAATTAAAAGACATTATTTAACTCGATTTATTTTTTGCTTTCATTCTGCAGTAACATTTGATAAAATTTTAATTGAGTTTGTATATCATATATTTCTTCTACATCTTCCACAAGGCGTATGGCCATACTTGCTTAGTTCCGGCTTCTTTGTTCTTGCAGAGCTCATTGCCAACTGTCCCGTTTTGGTGATTATCCCAAGGATCTTCTCCCTTGTGAGGCGTTATTTTGTACGATCTTGGCTATTCGATCAGAAGTTTTTCACTTAATTTTATGCTGGGCTAAACAGCGTGTTTCTAATGAGAAAGATAAGCAAGTATGGTGTGAAATACTTAAGTAGCGTTAATCGCGTTAAATCGCTGTCAACAAGTTTGTATCACTTAAAACGGGCAAAAAGCCAAATCCTCATTGTTAATATTTCCATTGGCTACAGGAATAGCTCAGGGCAGCATCTTGAGTTCGATACTCTTTACTTCTTTAATGATTTGCACTTGGTCTGATCCTCGACAAAATATTAGTTTTGCGGATGTTACTAATTTGTCTACTACTAATCGAGTTGAAAGGTGGTTTTCTGCAATGTGAAACTGTAGTGTTCAGCACCGGATGGGCCAAAAAAAAATTAATGGCTCTTCATTGGAGACCCCGTATTGCAGTCTGCGCTTCGCAAAGCAATTTTTACCAATGGCAATTCGACTTTAACTTTAACTTAAAATTTTTAACTTAAAAACTTTTAACTTAAAATTACCAGTCAAACCGAAATGTTAATTTGCAGGTGGGTGGCGACGGTATCATTTACGAGATAATAAATGGAATTTTTGAACGTCCTGACTGGTCTGATGTAGTGAAATCAGTTCCAATTGGGGTTGTTCCTGGTGGTTCTGGCAATGGGTTGGCTCGAAGTATAGCCCATCATGCAGATGAACCATATTTGCCATCGCCAACTTTGCCAGCGGCTTTGGCAGCAGTTCGAGGATACAGCGAACCCATGGACTTAGTCAGAGTTGAAACTCTCTCGCAAATTGTGTATTCTTTTCTCTCTGTGGGATGGGGTTTGTTGTCGGATATCGACATTGAAAGTGAAAGGTGCGTGAACAAGATTGTAGCTTTGAAATGCATTTTAATATGGGGAAAAAGTTCTTCCAGTTCCAGGAATATATGTTGTAGTTGTTGCTACTATTTATTTCGAGCTGATCTAACTTTTATTAAAAAAAAATGTCAGGCTCCTCCCCTATTGATCCTCAAAATTCTTTAAAAAAAATTGATGTGTGTGGGTGATTTCATAAGGGTCTTGGTACAGTCAACACTTTCATTTGGTTACTGGAATCAACTATTTATTTGGGTTGATGCACTAATGTGTGTTCACTTTTTGTGTTCTTTGTAAAATCTTATAGCTTTTATAGTTTTTGCGCAGAAAAATATTTCTGTTTTCTTAACAATTTTATGCATTCTCCGTTTATTTCATCGGATTTCTGAAGAACGCAATTCGAACGAAAACGTTTGCAAGGAATGACCGGTCTAAGACTTCTAAGTTTTGATCAATCGATCAGTTATTAACAATAAAACGCTTGACAAATGATTTATTTAAAAATAATATTATCGCGTACTTCGACAATTTTGCGCAGAAACGATGCTGTTCAACAGGATTTTACAAAGAGCGAAAAAATGTCAAGAAATTATTAGTGCATCAACTCAAAAAAAATTGTTGATTCCAGCGACGAAATAAAAAGTTCTAACAGTTTTGTACCCAGGCACTCAAGAATTCACCACTTGCCCCAAGCGAATGAACTCGGCTGCCTCATCAAAATATACGTCGTGGGCACGATTCACATTCACAGCGAATTTGATTCAAAGCTATCGTCTCATTCTACCGATATATCAAAAACATGAATTTTTTTGAAGAATTTTGATCATCAGTAGCAGAGGCGCCAGACATTTTTTCTTAATAAAAGTTAGGTCAGATCGTCTCCTTCTGAACCAAAGAATGTCGCAGAACCCTTTTTATCAGGTACTTGCGGAATACCCTGTATGTTAAAATAATAGCAGCAGATATTCCTGGAAGAAACTTTTCCCCATATTAAAATTAGCATTTCAAAATTAGAATCCTGAGCCAAAGAATGTCGCAGTGCCCTTCATAGATCTTAGATCATGCGCTTACGGGAAACCCTGTATATTGTTTTACAGTAATGTATGGATAAACCCGAAAGAAAGTGGGGATAATAAGCACTCAACAAGTAGATATAAATTAAATTAAATTACTTTTTTAATTTAATTCAATATTGTTACGGCACATTTTCTAACTATGTTCGTTTTCGTCATCCGAGAACTCAATTTCTTCTATGACACCATCTTCTCAGATATCTATGTCTACATTTTTCTCATCATCTTCTGTTTATTAATTTAAATCACTTTAGAATCAATCGCACTAGAAGTTTAACATCTTTCTACCGCTTCCTCTTCTAAAAGTACCGCCTGCAACAATCGTTATCGATATGTAATTTTCTCAGTTTGGATCACATTCTGGTCCATCGGCTGAAGACGGTAGAAACATTACCTTGATTATATTGGTTCAAACCATAATGTGACCTACTTTTGTTTCGAAACCATGGTGTAAATTGCAATATACATACTACTACAGGTCGTTTCATCAAGTAGTTGGCAAAAGGAAAAATCGAAGTGTTCAGGATTATGAATATAATTTTATGTTATGGCATCGCTCAGATTTTAAAGGAGTTTGAATTCTAAGGCACTATCCATACATGACTGTACAATTTAGGCCTGGGCAACTCAGTGAATTTTTATTTCAGCGCAGTAACTCAGTTCTGTTGCTGGGAAAATGTTGATTTTTTTTTAACTTTTTTTAGATTTATTTTAAATTCCATTTATTAATAATATTTTTAGGATGTCTTTAAATTTCAGACTTTTCCAGTTTTAGCCAAGTTATTCTTTCTTCTAAATGCTCAATTTTCTAAAGTTTCACTTAAAAATGCTGACAATCTTAAGGTATTTTCCGCGAAAAGTTATGAAATGAATTGCGAATCTTTCGGCGCTCTGTAAAAAGTTTCGAAATTCCTGTCCAGCTTCGAATTTGGAACAAAAATCAAACAGTTTTCTAACAAAAAACGAACAAAATAAGCGAAAGTTTATAACATCATTTGGAAATCTCGTCACCTCCATTCCTCTGAAGACTGTAGAATTTGTTAAAAAATGAGGTTTTTTAGTTTTGACTGAATTTTTTTGGTTCTTTCTACTAAAAACGCTCTATTTTGTAGTTTCACTTTAAAATCCTTACGATCTGGAGGAATTTTACGCGAAAAATTTATTAAATAAAAAAAAAATATCTTTTCTATAAAAAGCTATAAATATAGCTTTGTAAAAATTTTACAGACACTTTTTTCAGTGTCGAATTCGGGACAAAAACGAAAATAAATGCCTGCCGTTTTTTCCCGAAAACCATTAAGGTTTTCTTCAAAACTGATCGCGAAACTAAAAGTTTTTAATCGAAAAGACAAAAAAGCATTATTTTCTGATGATTCTCTTCTTTTTTGACATTAATCGGGTGTTTTCAGCCAATAATGTCAAAATTTATTTTGCTAGAAAATTCGCTTCATTCATCGGTTCGCAGGGAACTTTAGAAAACCCATTTCAGCTTCGAATTTGGTACAAAACCAAATAATTTTATTCAGGTTTTTACCGAAAGTAATTAGGACTTTCTTGAAAAACGACCAAAGGGCAAAAGTTTACAAAAAATTATTGGGAAAATTCGCCGCCCTCATCGCTCTGAGGATTTCTAAAGTTCCTTTAAATTTTCCGATTATTCCAGTTTTAGCAAAGTTTCAATTAAGCAATTATTTTTACGCAGAAATAGCATTATTTTTTAGTTTTACTTAAAATACTGGCGATCTTCAGGTATTTTCTGTGAAAAATTATAAGGTACATTTTATTCGAACACTCGCCTCCTTAACAGCTTTGCAAAAATGTTTGAAAAACTTTTTACAGCTTTGAATTATGAACAAAGCTCTAATACTTATTTCTGGGTCTTTTTCCAAAAATATTTCCCCGAACTGGAAAAGCGAAAGTTTATAATCATTTATTTGGAAAACCCTTGGAAACTGGAGTTTCTTCACTTTTAGGTCAATATTTCTCAACAACACTGTCTCTAAACAGAAAAACCGCTTTTTTCCTAACGTTTTACTGTAAAATACTGGCGAACTAAATCTTAATGATCTTAACTTTATGCCAAAAAATTAAGTTTTTTGATTTTACAAGAAAATTCGTCGACTTTCTTTGGACTCACTTTGTTTAGTTGTTTGAAGAAAGTAATAAAACTTTACTCATTAAAAATGTTAATAACCCTTTTTTAGATGTGAAAATTCCAGTCTCGAGTCGAGACTCGAAGAAAGTCCTAAAGCTTTAACAAAAGAATTATAACTCATTAACCGATGATTATTACTCGTTAACTCAGAGAGCGGCAACAACTCAATAGCGCATTTCAACGCAGTGTTACCCAGGCCTAGTACAATTCATGGTTTCGAATTTAGTTCTCAGCAATGTATTTAAAAGGTATTTTATTGCATTTTTAGATTAAGATTGTTAGGTGGCACGAGATTTACAGTTTGGTCAGTAGCCCGTTTGATAGGTTTAAGATCATATAAAGGGAAATTATGGTATCTGCCTTCATCTTCTTCAAGTTCCTATAGTCAAAGTCCAATTAATGAAGGCAGCTCCATGGATTTTCCCTCAGAGGTGCATTTGGAGACAGACGAAGGTAATATTTACAGTGGAAAAATACTTATGATATTTTTCTAAATGCCCTAATTCTTGTGGTTTCCAGCTTGATGAATTGTTTGGTGTTTTCTAACTTTTGACTGTTTGTTGCTCTATGTTGGCTCTATATTGCTTGTGTACTGTTTTTAGGGCGGCCAAGGGTAGATTCGTGGTATAGTGCGCACTCTAGACGTAGTGCCTATTTTTCTCTTGGTGGCAGCTCATATCAATCTACTACGGATAGCGGATTAGGTAATTTTGTCTCAAAATGGGTGTTGGTATCTTGACCGTTTTTATCGTGATGGTCGATTTTGTTGGGTACATTCTAAGCATGAATCTATAAAATTTAACTCGAATTAATTTTACCCATTCGTATTTCATTGATTGACAACAACAATTTGTTGTTGATCAACGAAATTCCTTTTTGAACAAGTTTTTCATTAGGTGATGGTGATAATGTCGATTCAGGTGATCGGCCCAGACGAATGTATGGGCCATCTCCACAGTTGCCCAGCCTAACATCAGTTTTACCAGGAGATTGGAAATGCATCGATGGTAGATTTGTTATGGTAAATGACACGCATTTTGGAAAAATGTTCCAAGTTATTTGTAGTATGATATTCAAAAAATATTGCGCTTGAATGCAAAATATTATAGAGGGCAAAAAGATTTGGGAAGGAATTTGAGGGTATTTTTCAAAGATATTAGCTTTCGCTGGTGCATCTTCAATTGCGTATTTTAATTTAGTCAACTAGTAGTATCGCATGAAACATTGAGTTGTTCTTAAAGGATTAGATTGAAGAATTGATTGATTTCATTCAAAAAAAATATGTGATTTTTTTTTCACCTGTATATTTTGTTGATTTACGCGCGAAGAAAAATTTTGCAAGTTTAAAATTTTATTTGCAGATTTATGCGAATGAGCCAGTTTTTGTAACTGTCTTTTTAACTACATTTTACTACCGCCCTATATACCTAGACAACAAATCAACTTTAAAAAAATACTGCGTGATTCATAGAATCGTTTTCAGTTAAATTTTTAAAACTATGCTCTTCCAATAAATAAAATGTTGATATTTTTGTTAAATCTTGCATAGAATTTCTTCTAATTAAGGTGCATGCATCATATCAAACCCATTTAGGAGAAGATTGCCTCTTTGCGCCAGAAGCCCGATTAAATGACGGGCGCATTTGGCTACTGATAGTCAGGCATGGAGCAAGCAGATCTCAATTACTGCAGTTTCTTTTAGGTAAGTTCAATATCGCTTCGATGGCATAATGGCACCTTACAACAAATGATCGGTTTATTATGTTTGATGTTTTATAGTTTTGGTATAAATGTTCTTATAGAAACATAAAAAAAAACATACAAATAATACTTAATTTAGGATTTAATAATTTGTACTGGCCGGGATCTAAAATAAAATTTACTAGGTCTAATTCAACAATGATTATCTCGGAAACGAAGGTTCGCTTGGTTCATGTATATTAACTCTTTATTTCCCTGTGTCTAAGTTTGACGATTGGAAGCTAAGTCAATATAGTGTACATATGTATTAAAATATAAAAAATAATATTTCTACACTTAAGTTTTGTACATATTTGTACCATTTTAATATTTGTGTGCTATAATAGTGAGTGAAACTTTTCTGTTTCTAATACTCCGTGTTCTTATTTTCCATAAGCGATTTTACATTCAACTTAATCTGGATTGTTCCGCTTCCGCATAAAACAAAATTTTGAAAATGTGCTGATACCATACTAAGGCCATAATACACAGACACTTCAAAAAAATGTTTGTATTTTAAAATAGGATTGACAACTGGAGCACACGCATCGTCCGAAAATAAAGACCCCACAGGAAACATTGAGCTAATTCCTGTTATTGCATTTAGAATAGAACCAGATATGGCTCACACTGGGTAAGGATTTTGATGTTTTCTTTGACTATTTGTTGCAATCTGAAGCGCTTTCCTCAGCTATATGACTGTTGATGGGGAACATGTGGAATATGGACCTATTCAAGCAGAAATATTTCCTGAACTTGGTAGGGTGATGGTTCCTTGACCGAATAATGCCGTTTCGCGAAGAAACCAACGAGATTCTAGGATAATAAAAAAATCGAAGGTTGTGATTTTATCTACTCTAGAGCCGCTTTTAATACGGCTTGATAGTTTCTAGATTCCACTATATTTCTATTGTTCGCAGTACAAGCGTACTGTAATATTGTTAACATTTTAGATGTTTATCCAACATTTTTACCATATCGCTAGTGCATTCCTACGGATCGAGCGTGTTTCGATACCTGTTGTTCTCGCATCCAGCTCCAAAAAATAAACTATTACTAGTTCTAATCTTAAATCCACTTTAATTGAGGGATTTTATTCAAAGTACAATGTCTAGTCCGCCGTGTGCCGCGTTGTTCGCCTTAACAAAAATAACATAATCAATTAATGTACATAATAAAATATACTAAAAGTTATCAAAATAATCGGGTTAAACATTCCGAAAACTTCCGTCATTAATTTTTTAAATTTTATTAAAAAAGTTATCTCGATTTATTTAATAAGTTAAAACTGACCTTTTAATCGCTTTAGATTTGGATATTTTTTATTTGATGGTCGTTGAAGAAGCCTAACATGTACATATTTCTGATTTTATGCCGAGTTTAAATCCAAATATAAATAACACTAAAATTGTCATTTTGCTTCACATCGATTTGAATGCAATTCAATCGGACAATAAGAATAATCAAAAAATTCCTGTGTGAAAAAAACAAGATCAATTAAATTATAAAAATCAGTAAGTAGAATTCTTAAGATTAAAAAATACAATTTGGATGTTGAACGTTAAGCTGAATATCTTTGCTTGATTTTCGGGATATTATGGATTATAACTGATGCTAAAGATAATTTACATTTTAAAATTTTTTTACAGTTCTCCAAGATCATTTTTTAGTTTCTCATCTGATCATATCATTCAGTTTGGTTTTAATACATATTAGTAATTCTGTTGATACTTAGTTAAGCCTAAAATTCACATTCATTAAATGTTGACAAAAGTACCTTTGTGATTACCAGAAATGACAAATTCTACCGCTCTCTGGTTTAAGCATTTTCAACATGACTTTGTGTTCATCTTACATTTCATATTCATTTCCGGCATGTGATTTTTTTAAACTAGAAAACCTTTATTTATGTGGATAGTAAAATTACATTTTGTGAATGGCATCTACCGTTACTGTCAGTAATTCAATGATTATTAGTAGTGAGTTTTAAATACAAATTGTTAACTGTAGAGACGTATTGCCTCATAATTATTGTTTAAGTTGTCCCGACTGTTGAGGAGCTGCTTTACATTTTCCGAATACATTTGAAAGGACATGTTTATAAAAAGTTATTGTTACATCAAATATACTTTTTAGAAGAATGTTTTTGCTATTAATTTGACCCTATCATAAGCCCGACATTTTCGGTTGGAAAACCAGACCAGTGTTTTTATTTTTTACGCTGAAATAAACTGTTTTTAAAACTAGTTGACTTAGATGGCGAGGAAGAGTGAATGTGTTGATCAAATCATAAGAATCATCTAAACCTTAAGAACTTTTGCGAAGTCGATATTACATTGGCGCTTTTCCTTTTGAAGCGAAATTACGAAGAAAACGTGAATGTTGACAATGTAAAACCCGCGTCAGCGTTGTTATCAAATATCTTTTGAAAATAGTTTAGTGTTTGGAAGCAGGTGTTTAGTTAATCATTCAAATAAAACATCTACAAATTTTTCGAAACTAGAAACTTATACGCAATTTCCTAGTTGAAAAAGGTAAGTTTTTGTAAATATTTACTGCTTCATTTTCATATTATCATTTATTGGTCAATGCATTACATAGAATAAAGCACAAGTGTCATAGTGGAGATTAGCAGGCTGTTACGCAACATTTTCAGGTCGTTGTTGAATTTATTTGCCAATATTCTGTCTCATGATGGACATGTATGAGTAAGCCACCTTCATAGTCTGTAAAGTAAATCAAGTTTAAATATTCAATTGATGAAAGGTCATACTGAAAAACTTTAAATTGATTTTTTCGGAACCATTTCAAGTATATAGTGTTGTATCTAAGTACCGTATGAAAATTAATAAACGCACTGATGCGAACGTTTTCAAAATTATTTGTCCGATTAAGCAGCCAAAAAAGTACCTTCATTCATTTTTCAGACACAAAAAAGAATTCGTATTTTTATAATCATAATAGATGATTTATCCAGGCAGACTGATGGTGTGATAACACAAAACAGTGGAGAGAAGACCATTTTTTTTGACGAAATTAGAAAATGACCAAACAGCAGCATCCAAATCTTTGTGCACCAAAAAGTGCCGAGAAGCAGAAGGGCAGCCGATAAGGAATCCTGAAACTCATCGAAGGGAAGATTCAGGGAAAAAGATCAATCAAAAGATCAGGTGGTTTGGGCGCAAATCCACAGATATTTTCCGAGCAGCTGTTTCCAAAACCACACTGGCCATTTGGATCGCCAAATTTCAAGGAGACGGCGCGATAACAAGAATAATGCCATTTTAAATGAGGTACGTGTTGTCATCACTGAGTTTTAATATTATAGAAAATAACCGGTTGTAATAACCACCTCCTTATTTGAAAAAAAATAAGTGCTAAAAATGGAGAAATCACTTCCAGAAAGCAAACAAAAAGAAAAGATCCAATTGTTTTTCGAATAGCAAAACGAGCATCCATTCCCTTATCCAACAAACAATTTGATAAATCGCTTTTCGAATTTCTATGGAACATCACACAACAATCCGTGTATACAACGATAAATTTTATTACTAAGTTTTTTTAAATTAAAATATCAGAACCTGAAGCGCTGTTGAGTTGGCCATGCGAAAAAATGGCCCAACAGTAAGTCCGAATGGTATCTGTGCTCTCATCATCATAACAATTAATAGAGTCTTAACTTCCTTACTTTGTTTATGCCAGTTACTAGCAGCAATGGACGCTGCCACTCCTAAACCCTGAAATACATTCATTTGTAGTCGATTATTAATAATAGATTAACAAAAAAATACAATAATAATCCAAGTTAACAGTTTTTCGTTTTCCAAAGTCACTTTTATAGGCTGATATATTGTTAAATAAAAATTAATTATTTCATTTTTGTTTATTAAGCGAGGTAGCTTTCGTGACAATTGCGTCGAACTGGTGAGTTTTCGATGCTAAACACAATTCATAAAAAAACTCGATATTTGCTACTTATGTCAACTGTACATTTGTGAAGAAAATTGTTCTAAACTTTATAGTAAAAAACCAAACATGTCTTGATTTTTGGTTTGGGTTCTTTTGCATTGGATTGGGGATATAGTTTTTTAAATATTTATATTGTTTTAACTACTCATCAATCATTTTTCTCATCTGGTTCAACATACTATTTGAGAACATAAATATTACCAAGTTTGTCAGTTTACCAGCTGGAGAAAAATTATTATTTTGTTTTGAGCGCTTTAAAACCAGCGGGTTGAAAGTTGTTTTATTAAAACCGAATTAATTTAAAAGGTTTCAGTTACTTAATAATCATACATTTGTACCAGCACTACAAAGACACTGACTTTTACTATGTTGCGATATATAACGTATATAGCCAAATATGTTTAAGTTTCGTTTCAATAGTTGGCTCAATACAGTAACTTTTATCATACAGTCATAATGTTCATGGAGTTTTGGTTTTATTGAAATAACTTACCTGTTCCGTTATTTCATTAGCATGCCAAGAAAGGATGAAAATCTGGACCACAATATAAAAGTTGAGACAAAAGGTAGATAACCGACCTGCAGGGGTGTCGATCTAGAAATATTTCCAGTAATTTTAGTTTCAGCTTTGATTGAAAGAGTATATACTCTTCAATCGACGGTTTCAGTCTGTATTCCTCAAAGTATACTTATTGTCGGTCTGTCGGGTAGCAAGAGACGAAGGTGTAAGATGACATTCGCAGTAAACGTTTATGATTTTTCATGGGTGTTCTGCTCAAACTTTTGTCATCACAAAATGATAAACATGTGTCGAGTGCCACGGTAAAAGAATGTAATATTAACTACTAATGTAAGATAGTGCAAATCTCGAGGTTCGCCAACCTCAGGCACCCCCAGGACTATTAACTATTAACTTGTATGTATATTGTATCGTTGTATAATAAAACGGTTTTTGAAGATTTTTAGCCAATTTATTTGCAAACAACGGAAAATAGTAGTTGAAAAATGGGAGTTAAAAAATGTAGAGAAATCATCTGAGTTGCCTCTGCTCTATTGGCGTTCACTTCTTTTAAATCTTATCATATTACTTCGTCTGACATTTTCTGTAGCAATTTACGTTGTATTTAAGATTTCTCCTCGTTTACTTATTAATTATCTTATTGCTAAACGGTTTGCATCTTAAACAACGTTAAATAATCCTAATTTCGCCAGATTACCATTTTTCTCTTACCAAGGAAAAGTTTAAAGCAAATGTTTTGCAGCACTCACTATGAGAAACTGAAGTGTTCCAGAAGCAACGCACAACGAATTTAGAATGAATTCCAGCAGCAAAACATATTTTGTGCGATCATTTAACAACTGGACGAATCTGCAACAKAATACTCCTTRTGACTTACAATAGTATTCGACAAATGGTTATAGCCACTAATTAACGGTGCCCAWTTTCTTAAATATATGGAAGAAATCCMCGTTTCACTTATGAAATAWTAGACGGAAAACTARTTACTTRATTAAATCTTGATGTTCATTTATCAGTTCCTTGATTGCACGTTCTGCATTACCGTGATATTGTTCTTGAGCAATCTTATCAAACTTCTTTAGGCGAATTTGTAAAATTATCAGCCTTGTTCTGGCGTAAATCATCAAACAAATAAGTGTACTTTGACTTGCTGCGTTGCAAAACAGACCCTGGGTATCGCATAATATTGCAACAGTCATGACCCATGGCATGTGTTTTTCTCTCTTRAAAGGATACCAAAGATCGTGCATGAATGGAGTATCCTTAAATTCAGACATGTCTTCAGAAGCTACTACTTTCATTATTGAAATATGTGCGAAACCGCTACATGCGAAAAATGTGACTAGGAACTGAAATATGTTGACCCTTCGGCAGTACTGTACTTCTTGTTCGTAGTATTTCCTCACTTGAGCATCGTTAGAGGCTCTCATTGCTGCTTCGTACTTTGAAATCTCAGAAAACATCAGTGGAACTTTCTGGAGCTGAAAGCAGCCCTGACTAGATAAATATTAGTAAAAAGCTTACACATTACATTACAAAATGCATGCTTTGAGTGAAAATAATCAAGCGCAGTAAAATTTCCAATAATAATTCGATTACCTGAAAAATTACTACCTTGAGACATATTTCAAACACAATTATGAACATGTTCAAAGAGCTAATTATTCTCTCAGGTTGGTTGCGTTTTACCAGGGTATAAACCAGGTTTAGCAGAAGATTCAGTATTACACTCACATAAGAAATCAACTGATATTTAGTGTAAAAGTTATACATTTTCGTGAATAAAATGTTATTTGTAATTTTGAAAGGCCATAGGCCACAAAGCAACAGGAACAGTTTGGGTACTTTTGAAAGTGTGGCAGTTTCCATTTTGAGAACAATTTACTTTAATTGTAATGTAATACTGGATTTGGTTGTTTGCGACTTAGATTTTATACTAGCCGTATAAAAAAATTAAAATTTCAACATCGCAATAGCCCAGTAAATATACGGTTTAACCGGTAAAAGTATAAAGAATATTGCGTTGTTATTGAAAGTTTTAATTATTTACACGTCAATATTTTATTCCTTCGAGCTCCGACACTACGTTCTTAATACGAATTTCTAACATTGAATATTGTTGAATCGACTAGTATGTAACAATTACAAAATTTAATAATGGCAAGTAGGTTTTATGATATATTTTTACCTCTAAAATTGCCATTTTGAGCTCTGTTATCGAAATATGAATAAATATGTTACCTAGAAATAAAAGAGTTGCAAACTTGAACTTTGCTGTTTAGAACTGTAAAAAGTGCATTTATATATGGTATATAATATAAAATATTGATGAATCACCATTCAAAATATATTTTTATTTAAGCAAACTTTTTATTTTTACATGAACTAAGTTATATTAGTACTTGAACTTTTTCATTTGTCGAAAACGGTATTTTCTCACTGTACTATCAAGTTCGATTTTAATTAAGTGCTTCGTTTCAGTTCATTCCGTACTGTATACTTAGTTAAAAAAGGCGATTATCTTGTGAATTGAGGAAGAGGAAATAATAGCTACTTTTATTTTAAATATTCAGATTTCCTATACATGGTATAGGGCATATTCTAAACTAAAGAAAAATATATAGATAAGCAAATGAACGTTAACACTACATGTTATCCATCAGGTTAATTTATTTGGTCTGATTATGACGTAATATTTCCTACTTTTATTATAAAGGCACCTTAAAAATGCATGTCATAAGATAAAAAGCTGTTACTTTAAAATCTTGAATCGGCTCTTATTCTTTGTTAAAAACAATTGTTTAATTCATTTTTCAGATAGCTGGAAATAGGGGATTTTAGATGCACTGATGCATCCAATGAAAATTAGTAAACCAGTTGGGAGGTGTTCGATTATTTAATTTTTTACTAAGTCTACGGCTACTTCCAATTAGCGCTACATTTAAGGTAAGCTTTTTCTTGCGTTTTATATCTAATCAGGAATATTTTTCCTCATTATAGACGTGTAGGAATAAGCCACTTTCATAGTCTGTAAAAACCAAAATTTTCATATATAATTTTATTAGATGAGAAGGACTCTACCTGCATCGCAGCAGAGTTCGTCATTCGAAAAAATGGTCCCGCGGTGAGACCAATTGTCTTTTGAGCTATCATCATCATTACTATCAACAACTTTTGTACCTCTTTGCTTTGTTTTTGCCATTGACTGGCAGCGATGGCATCCGATACTGCTAAACCCTAAAAATCCCTTAAACCTCTTCTAGAATGCCTGGATCCCTTGAAATCTACTTAATTGGTACAACATTTTTACTTTACGCACCTCCTCCGATATTTCATTCGCATGCCACGTTAGGATAAATATCTGAGCCATTACATACAAGTTAAGGAATACAACGGCTAACCAACCCGAGGTGGTGTTGACCTGAAAATGATAATAAAAAATGTTTTGTGTGAACTGGTATTTGTCGTAAGAGTCATTGTTTCGTTCGCAACCATTTTGAGACGAACTTTTCTTGCAAAGCAATTTTGCAATTCGCTATTAAATCAGGTTTTTCACAGAGAAACTTATTTGAAAAAGCATTTAAACCGTAAGATTAAGATAAAATAAGATAAATAGCATTACAACTCGCATTTATTTTAAGGTTAATGTAACAGCTTATGGCATTTAAAATTTCACTTGCATGGCAGTAATTTAAACATGTTTAAAATAACTATTCATCAAGAATATATACAATTTTAACTTTACTTTACGTTTCGCGGGATTTTGGGACATTCAAAAAGGAAATTCAATGCTGTAAAATATAGGAGTTTTAAAACGTATAGAAGATAAAAACGAAGTTGGAATGTTGTCTGGAAGAATGTTTTCTACTAGTACTTACTATAGTAAACTGAATTGTGCCAGAGGCTAAACATAGCGAATTTAGCATGAACTCCAGCAACAGCACGTGCTGCGTTTTGTCATTCAAAGATTTAACGAAACTGAAAGCAAAATGCCGTTAATATAATTGAAACTATATTGCAAATCACGTAAAACGTGTTTATTCATTACAGATTATTCTTTACTTTTTAGTAGCATTACTTTATTAGATATTGATGTTCAGCTATAAGATCCTTGACGGCGAGTACTACATCACCTTCGTACTCTTCAACAGCAATCGTATCAAACTTTCGCAAGCGACTTTGTAAGATTTTCAGTCTTGTTCTTGCATAAATCATCAAGCAAAGCAATGTGGTTTGGCACGCTGCATTGCATACTAGTCCTTGCATATCGCATATGAATGCAATACAAATGACCAAATATATATAATCTTCTCTATTGAATGGATACCATAAGTCGTGC